AAATCTTGGTGAGACGACAATGACTGTGTGCTCTACTCATCGTTATCATTGGTTATCATTGGTTGGCTACCTACAGTCTTGGAATTTTTGGAAATTTTTCAAAAAGCTTGTGGGGCAGATTCTAGACTGGATGTCTCGGCCTCGCCTCGCCTCTCACATAGAGCCTTGACCGCTTGTTTCATTGGACCTTTCGTGTCACACTTTTCGCCTCAAAGGCTTAGTTTCACGCCTCCTCTGCCTGTTGGTTCCCATATTCCCTGATTTTTTCGCCCTTATAATTATGATCATTATATTTAATATTATTGTTATATTTATTATTATTATTATTTTAATGAAGCAGGTTAATTTTTATTATTATTTTTTTTTAATCTTTCAATGTTCACCCGTTTAGGACACTCAAATGTTCCGGAAGAACACACATAACATGAACAGCACTAGTGGTAAAGCATTTTATTATGAACACAATTCCTCTCAAGACAATAATAAAGTTTAACTCATTTTTCTGAACACGGCAAAGTAAACGAATAGTTTAAAATATTATTTTTTTAGCCCTTTCAGCACTTTTAAATACAGTAATATGTGGATTTTTCTTTTTTAAATTTGTGTTATTATTTGTGAAAATTATTGTTTTGTTTTTTTTTAAATTTCAATTTGCTTTAAGACAGCGGTTCTCAACCTGTGAGTCACGGCCCCTTTGGTGGTCGAACGACCCTTTCTGTAATTTTTTTGTTGGGGGAGGGGTCGCCACAACATAAGGAACTGTATTAAAGGGTCGCGGCATTAGGAAGGTTAAGAACCACTGCTTTGAGGTAACCTAGAATCATTCTCCTCATTATTTTTACTATCTCCTTTGACAGATGACGTTGTTGAAACTCGAGCGGGTGTGTCAGGGTTTAAACAGATCAATGACTGGAGACTCCTCTACGGTAATTAGATTTGGATTAAAAAATACCTATGCTAGAATGCGCGTACAAATTAACCAAAAAAAATGCCCTCATCCCATCTCATCCTATATAATCCCATCTCATCCCATCTCATCCCATCATTACCCATCCCATGTCATCCCATATCCACCTAAATCATCCCACCCCATCCAATCTAATCTCATCCCATCATTACCTATCCCATGTCATCCCATATCCTCCTACCTCATTCCACCCCATCCAATCTCATCCCATCACATCCCAATCCATCCCATCATATCCCCCCTCACCAACTTACTGCACTGAAAAAGAAAATTAAAAACACAAGATTAAGGACAGATTTAGGATATTAATCCATTCCTTTACATACACATATTCATTTACACACATTTATTCAATTACATACATTTATTTATTTACATACATATATTCATTTATATTTGCAAATGTCCTAGTTGAAAGAGGCAGGAATTAGGGGGGGGGGGGGGGGTGTTTGTTTGCGTGGGGGGGGGTTGTTGCTTGCGTTTGTGTATTGATTGCAGCATGCTTCAGTTTATTTAATTTATCCTCGACAAGGTCATTGAAAACTAAATTGTATCTAGATCTGTCATTGACCCAGGCAATGTTACTTGTTTTATATTATAGCATTTGTTTATGTTTACACCTTGAAACGGAGTTATTGTGAATGCATTTGTCACGTGCCTGTAGATGTGATGGTGTGTGTGATAGTGTTTGTGTATGGGATAGTACGCGTGTGTGGTTGTCTAGGGTTACGTTCAGTCCTCAGGTGAACAAAGGACACCAGAATGTTCATCCAAAATCCGGTTACCAAACCTGTAGCCGGCTCTCAGAGGCCAGAACTACGCCTATGTTAAGTGTTGTCTTAAGGCTAACCCAATGCTAGGTATCGTCCTAAGGCTACGCCATGCTAGGTGTTGTCCCAAGGCTACGCCAATGCTAGGGGTTGTCCCAAGGCTACGCCAATGCTAGGGGTTGTCCCAGGGCTACGCCAATGCTAGGGGTTGTCCCAAGGCTACGCCAATGCTAGGGGTTGTCCCAGGGCTACGCCAATTGTTAAGTGTTGTAAAAATAAAAGTAAAGTTAAACTACATAAAATAGTGATCTTATTGGGAATAGTTTCAATTAGAAACGTGTATTTAGTGAGTGCTCAGTACACATTACAATGCACTGGCTGATCTGTGCGTGCACTATCAGAATCAGGTCAAATTGTTTTTAATGAACGGCAACTGCAGTCCATTGATTTATATTTGTCATCGTGCTTGACAGACAACTGCAGTCCATTGATTTATCACTGCCATGGTGCTTGACAGACAACTGCAGTCCATTGATTGATGACTGACATGGTACTTGACAGCGTCAATATGCCCCCAGGTTCAGGACAAAACGATTCACCGCTTTTCAAACCTGGTGTTGCGAAAGGTTACCGGAAATATGTTTGAAAGAAATTTCGTCAACGCAATATTGATCGACGGAAATTTGACCGAACGGAAATTTGGTCGAATCTTCTTTTCAGTTCACACGTTAAAATGGTCCTCAAATTTCTTTTTTTGAGCCCAGTTGAATACATAATAAAACAAAATAACACAGAACGGAGTAGTCTATTTCCCACACAAGAGAATAGCATATAAACACAGAGCAGATTATTAAAAAATACATAAAGCTAAGTAAGAAGTAGTTGATCTTGGAAGGACGGGGGATAACCCCTGACGAAAGTCATATTTCTGGGAAGCCGCCCAGACAGGGGCCTATCAAGAGGCCATGTCCGGGAAAGCCCGGACTCGCGGTAACCCTATGACTGGGTGTGCTCACGTGAGCGTGTGTTTGTTTGTTTTTTACATGTATAAATAGTAATAATTTTAAATTTAAAGATATTATTCATTTTAATGGATGAATAGTACTAAATTTACTGAATAATTTTAATCAATGTTAATGCATAAAGAGTGCTAAATTCATAAGTAGTTTTCATTGTAATGTATAAAAAGTACTGGCTTTAATGGATAAAAAGTATTCATTTTAATTTATAAATGGTACTAATTTTAATGTATAATACACTGAATATTTTGTTTAGCCCACATAGTAGCCTAAGTATCCGGTTTAGCAAGAACCTAGGGGCTTTGCATGGATAACCAAGTGTTGGTTGTTGTTTCGTTGCTGTTGTTGTTGTTTTTTGTTTTTTTGTGGGGGGGGGGGTTCGTTCTTAAAAATGTATAATTGTAACTTAATGATAAATTTGATGACGTAATTACACATTTCTTTTTGCTAATAACGTTGGCTGATGTTTACATGCCAGGTAGACACGAGACGCACGTATCAGAGGCTGACGAAGCAGATCTCCACAGGCAGCTCTTGGACTGTGACAAAAATCCAGGCCACCGCCAGTTTGTGCCCGTCTGCGATTTTAAGACCAGTGACCTGCCTGAGTGTTACCGCGACGACGACATAGTCGAGTTCATCAAAACCACAGCCCACCTGACGGTCAGGGTGGACGTTAAGATGACCAGCGCGGGCCGGCCGGATTTCTGGCCCAACACTTCCGTCCCGTACGCGTTTCACAACATGAGAGGGGTCGGCGTCAGGCGAACGGGAACTGGGATGATCAGGCGCGCGGACAACTACAGGGATCGGAATAACAACGCAACGTGCCAATGTCAAAGGTGTCTCCATTCCGGCGAGCCCAGGAAAGGTTGCGGGGAGATTAGGATATACACGGCGACGCACGTGGTGTTTGACGAATTTGAGGCGAGACACACCACGTGTAGATTGTTCTACGACAGACCAGACAGCGCCTTCGTCGTCCTCGATGGCTTGACCATGGTCAGCGCGAACGTAGAGGAGGACTGGTGTCTGCTGAAGTGCGAGGTGAACGACGCCGAACTGCTGGACATGCTGGACGCCACGGTGAGGCGGTGGCGGGGTCAGTGCGACGACGTGACCAACAAGTACGTCAACGCTAGATACGACGACAGGCTGCTGTTCATCGTATCGCACCCTCACGGTTGTCCGAAACAGGTCTCCGTGGGGCGCTGCGTGAACAGGTACGTGGTGGGGGACGTGTGGTCGACCAAGTGCACCTACACGACGTGCACGTGCCCGGGTAGCAGCGGGGCCAATGTCCACTCGTTGGGCTACGGTAGCCTGATATACGCCCGTCACGTTCACAGCGGGGTCAACTTTGAGGGCTCAAATTTTAGCGGCACCGGCCGAGACTACCCGCTCTTTCGATGATGTCGACGGAAATGTATGTTATCGCATGGTATTGATGGAAAGATAATAAATGAAGGAATGCGTTCAAGCCGTGGGAAGCAAATAGTAGAACAAAGTATGTGGAAGCTTGAATCAAAAGACGAGACAATCAGTTAAGAATGTTTCTCCAAAGAGACTTCTCAGCAGACAGGACAAATGAAAATAAGTCAAGAAATAGAAACTAGCTAAAATCTTAAGTGATCACAATAGTTCCTTCCGGAAGTTGGATTTTCCAAAACAAAGATTAGCTTAAGAACTATGAAGAAGTTCTAAATACTTAAAATGAAGCTTGTATTTGTCAGCAAAACCCATTGATTGGCTTGGTGAGGCTTGAACAAGGAAATTGACCTTCTTCAAGACGGCTTTACAAATGTTTTTATTGATATCAAATTTATTGTAAAATCGCATTTCTATTGATGAATAAAACTGTAATGAATGTTTTATTGTCTTATGTTTTATGTTCTTATGTGTTCTTTTTTCGTTTATGTATTATGTTTGAAAAAAATTAGTCTTTGGTCCGCCACTCGGGACAGTTGAGTTTTTGTTCGTTCTTATAAATTGTAATATTTGTAACTTAATAATAAATTTGATAATGTAATTACAATATTTTTATACCCTTAACCCATAATTATATATATATATAATTTATACACTCTACCCATATATATATATATATATATATATATATATATATATATATATATATATATATATATATATATATTAAAACTAAAGTCCATTTACTTTTGAAATACCCATGAATACGTAGCTTTCTGGAAATGTTATCCATTCTCATGAATACATTACACCTTTTTAAATAGATCCTTTGAGCAGATTGATAAATGTCTCTCTGTACCTGCTGCTCATTTTGTAGTAGACTATTATATTAACACTCGAGTTAACGGTCTCCATGAGAAAAGCGATGCAGTAGCAAAGCAACGCAATGTCGAAATGCTCCCCGGAGGCGCTCAAATCTTGATTGATGGCGACCGCCGTCAGAATCGACGACTGGGGAATGAGGCAGACGATGAAAATCAGGGACACCGCCGTGAGCATCTGAACCAGTCTCGTCTCTTTGTTGGAAACTTTGCCGCCGGAGCTTAACCTCGAACTCGACACAGATTTTCTCCACGCGGCCTTGGCCTTCACCTTGATGATGATGACGAGGGTGCACGAGATGAGGGCTACGAACGTGATATAGGGCACGGCGAGATCCGTTATGAAGTAGGACATGCTAAAAGCTACGTCCGCGTCTTGACGGAACGCCACGGCCAGGATCGACCTATTTGCCCTGGGGGAAAACGTCCAATCAAAGTAAGCGAAGTAATACGGGGGGAAGACGTTGAACAACGTGATTGTAAATATCAGTACATTGACTACAACAGCGACTCGAACGGTGATGATTCCCTTGACCCTCAGTGGCGCAACAACACAGAGGCAGCGCTCGAATGCGGCGAAGGCAGTGACGAACCCGCACACCCTGATGAAGTAGCTGTGGGGGTAGAAGGATATCAACCGCACGACGTCCAGCGGTGAGAACGGCAGGTCGGCCCCGAGGAACCAAGGGTTGGTCATGATGTTCGTGGCCTGCAGGGTGACCAGCGCGCCGATGTCGCCGACCGCCAGGGCCGCGAGCGTGATGTTGACGCTGTCGTGGAAGCCCTGTTTGACGAAGACTCTGATGTTGGCGATGTTACCGCAGATGCCGAATAGCCCGAGCACCACACCGCAGACGAGGAGGTTGAACACCATAAAAAAACTCAAGACATCAGGATTGACAGTCCCGGTCGAGGGACGCGTTGGTGCGATGGTTACGTTCATCATCGACATTTTACCATTTAATTTGCTGTCATTATTTTTTTTATTATTTTTTTTAACTATTTACCGCTGCTTATTAATTTCACTTCGTTTAACGAATTTCCCAAATGTCCAATTCTCTTGGCTCTTGCGCTATTCGTGTGGAAAATCCTGTGTGACACTTAATAATTATTTTTCTTTAATTAGCCTTAGACTTTTTCTTTCTTGGAATAACTCGATTGAAATTTTTATATTTTGAAGTTAAAGATTTCAACTAAAATAATAATGGAAGTGTCTTTTTTATTTTACTTTATTATTATTTTTTGAACGAGAACATTAGAAAAATAGATTGATAAAACATAAATATTTCTTTTACTAAAAAATTTTTAATGAAATTTTAAAAATGATGCGCTTGAAATAGTATTTTATGACATGCTTTTAAACTCAAGCTCATCAGCTTTGCCGGTATCGGTACCGGTATCGGTACTTAATAGTGGAAGCGGTTCAATAAGAAATACGGGAGGCTGCATGGAAGAGGATGCCAACGTGCTTGGGTTCAGATCTCAGAACCACCAGGGAAGACGTCACCAATCCTGGGTTCACGGGCTCACTCTGGACGTTACGTGCTTGGGTTCAGATCTCAGAACCACCAGTGAAGACGTAAACCAGTCCTGGGTTCACGGGCTCACTCTGGACGTTACGGGCTTGGGTTCAGATCTCAGAACCACCAGTGAAGACGTAAACCAGTCCTGGGTTCACGGGCTCACTCTGGACGTTACGTGCTTGGGTTCAGATCTCAGAACCACCAGTGAAGACGTAAACCAGTCCTGGGTCCACGGGCTCACTCTGGACGTTAGCCAAAACAAAAACAAACCCCCCCAAAAAAGATAGTGGCTCGCAGTGGTCAGCTGTAAAACTTGACCACCATTATTCAAAACTCGCCACACCAGAAAACGCTGCAGCATACACAAGACAAATGTTACAGCTACAAGAGCCGCTGAGAAAGAAAACGAAAAAAAATCAATTTTGGAAACTCAGAAACATGATTTTAACGTCATTAAGGATGTAAATGTAACATTTATGCAACTTTAAACCTGTTACCAAAGACGATTACTGTTACCAATGTGTCAGTTTAGTCATTGCATTTTAATTATAAGTACTCTCTAACAACCAGGCATTCATTTTAAATCCTATACAAAGAAGACGACAATGTTGTTTTGATTTTTTTCAAACGTACGCATATTAAATGTATAATAATAAGTAATTGTGAAAATATGGTAATTATCTACTTGGTCGACCAATCAATATTAGAGGCACGGTTAACTCACAGGTAGTCTAGCACAGGTAGTCTATGAGTGAGATCAACTGAGCTCCAAGCAGCTCCCAAGGTCACGAACTAAGGTACAAAAAAAAAAAAGTGATTGAACTCAGACATTGGAAGCTGAGATCGACATGGGACTTGTTAAAATGTCTACTCATTAGTGGACTGTTGTCAGTTTGAGACATTGGAAGCTGAGATCAACATTGGACGAGTTAACTTGTCTACTCATTTGTGGACTGTTGTCAGTTTCCTCGTATCAAAACTCTCCAAAAATTTGTCTCCGTATTTGTTTACTGGATAATTACAATCTCCCCGTTGTATCACCATCAGCGGGGTAACCACGACGGGCGGTACCAGGAAGATTGCAGACGTGATCTAACGAATTCTCTCCCAAAATCAAACAATTATCTTTACTTAACGTATTTAATTATTATTTTATTTTTATTTTTTTTTAAATCTCGTTTTTATCATTATAAATATATTATTATTTTTTAAAGTTTTATTTTATTATATTCATTTTTGTGGAAAGCGGGTGGGAGACAGGGGGTGGGTGATAGGGGCGGTGGTCGTAACATATAATTAACTTTTCCAATGACGCATCTTTTATCCATATATTCCTTTGGCGTTACAGCCCGTGTAGGGCTTTGGTCCTACCTCACCACTTCCTTCCGCTCAGATCTAACTGATGATTTTCTTTCCCATGATTGGATTCCCAGCTGCTGTTGATATTTTTCCACATCATCCATCCATCGAAGACTATGTCTGCCTTTGAGCATACTGTCATACTTTGTTTTTTTTGTTTTTTTTATTTTAAAGCTTATGCCTTTGGTTTAAAAAGGTTTACTACCTATAGATCTATAAGAAGCTGAGACATCAACTAGCGAGTGTTATGACGCATCAACTATATGAGTGTTATGCCTCATCAACTAGCGAGTGTTATGCCTCATCAACTATATGAGTGTTATGACGCATCAACTATATGAGTGTTATGCCTCATCAACTAGCGAGTGTTATGCCTCATCAACTATATGAGTGTTATGACGCATCAACTATATGAGTGTTATGCCTCATCAACTAGCGAGTGTTATGCCTCATCAACTAGAGAGTGTTATGCCTCATCAACTAGCGAGTGTTATGCCTCATCAACTAGCGAGTGTTATGACTCATCAACTAGAGAGTGTTATGCCTCATCAACTATATGAGTGTTATGCCTCATCAACTATATGAGTGTTATGCCTCATCAACTATATGAGTGTTATGCCTCATCAACTATATGAGTGTTATGCCTCATCAACTAGTGAGTGTTATGCCTCATCAACTAGTGAGTGTTATGCCTCATCAACTAGTGAGTGTTATGCCTCATCAACTAGCGAGTGTTATGCCTCATCAACTATATGAGTGTTATGCCTCATCAACTAGTGAGTGTTATGAGGCATCAACTAGTGAGTGTTATGCCTCATCAACTATATGAGTGTTATGACGCATCAACTAGTGAGTGTTATGCCTCATCAACTATATGAGTGTTATGACGCATCAACTAGTGAGTGTTATGCCTCATCAACTATATGAGTGTTATGCCTCATCAACTAGCGAGTGTTATGACGCATCAACTAGTGAGTGTTATGCCTCATCAACTAGTGAGTGTTATGCCTCATCAACTAGTGAGTGTTATGCCTCATCAACTAGTGAGTGTTATGCCTCATCAACTAGTGAGTGTTATGCCTCATCAACTAGCGAGTGTTATGCCTCATCAACTAGTGAGTGTTATGCCTCATCAACTAGCGAGTGTTATGCCTCATCAACTAGCGAGTGTTATGCCTCATCAACTAGCGAGTGTTATGCCTCATCAACTAGTGAGTGTTATGCCTCATCAACTATATGAGTGTTATGCCTCATCAACTATATGAGCGTTATGCCTCATCAACTAGCGAGTGTTATGCCTCATCAACTAGCGAGTGTTATGCCTCATCAACTAGCGAGTGTTATGCCTCATCAACTATATGAGCGTTATGCCTCATCAACTAGCGAGTGTTATGCCTCATCAACTAGCGAGTGTTATGCCTCATCAACTAGCGAGTGTTATGCCTCATCAACTATATGAGTGTTATGCCTCATCAACTATATGAGTGTTATGCCTCATCAACTATATGAGTGTTATGCCTCATCAACTATATGAGTGTTATGCCTCATCAACTATATGAGTGTTATGCCTCATCAACTAGCGAGTGTTATGCCTCATCAACTATATGAGTGTTATGCCTCATCAACTATATGAGTGTTATGCCTCATCAACTAGCGAGTGTTATGAGGCATCAACTATATGAGTGTTATGCCTCATAAACTATATGAGTGTTATGCCTCATCAACTATATGAGTGTTATGCCTCATCAACTAGTGAGTGTTATGCCTCATCAACTATATGAGTGTTATGACGCATCAACTATATGAGTGTTATGCCTCATCAACTAGCGAGTGTTATGACGCATCAACTATATGAGTGTTAAGCCTCATAAACTAGCGAGTGTTATGCCTCATCAACTAGTGAGTGTTATGCCTCATCAACTAGTGAGTGTTATGCCTCATCAACTAGCGAGTGTTATGCCTCATCAACTAGTGAGTGTTATGCCTCATCAACTATATGAGTGTTATGCCTCATCAACTAGTGAGTGTTATGCCTCATCAACTAGCGAGTGTTATGCCTCATCAACTATATGAGTGTTATGCCTCATCAACTAGTGAGTGTTATGCCTCATCAACTAGCGAGTGTTATGCCTCATCAACTAGTGAGTGTTATGACGCATCAACTATATGAGTGTTATGCCTCATCAACTATATGAGTGTTATGCCTCATCAACTAGTGAGTGTTATGCCTCATCAACTATATGAGTGTTATGCCTCATCAACTAGTGAGTGTTATGCCTCATCAACTATATGAGTGTTATGCCTCATCAACTAGTGAGTGTTATGCCTCATCAACTATATGAGTGTTATGCCTCATCAACTAGTGAGTGTTATGCCTCATCAACTATATGAGTGTTATGCCTCATCAACTAGTGAGTGTTATGCCTCATCAACTATATGAGTGTTATGCCTCATCAACTAGTGAGTGTTATGCCTCATCAACTATATGAGTGTTATGCCTCATCAACTAGTGAGTGTTATGCCTCATCAACTATATGAGTGTTATGCCTCATCAACTAGTGAGTGTTATGCCTCATCAACTATATGAGTGTTATGCCTCATCAACTAGTGAGTGTTATGCCTCATCAACTATATGAGTGTTATGCCTCATCAACTAGTGAGTGTTATGCCTCATCAACTATATGAGTGTTATGCCTCATCAACTAGTGAGTGTTATGCCTCATCAACTATATGAGTGTTATGCCTCATCAACTAGTGAGTGTTATGCCTCATCAACTATATGAGTGTTATGCCTCATCAACTAGTGAGTGTTATGCCTCATCAACTATATGAGTGTTATGCCTCATCAACTAGTGAGTGTTATGCCTCATCAACTATATGAGTGTTATGCCTCATCAACTAGTGAGTGTTATGCCTCATCAACTATATGAGTGTTATGCCTCATCAACTAGTGAGTGTTATGCCTCATCAACTATATGAGTGTTATGCCTCATCAACTAGTGAGTGTTATGCCTCATCAACTATATGAGTGTTATGCCTCATCAACTAGCGAGTGTTATGC